ATGAATGGGTTGCGATGACTGAACTGATGGCACGGATTGGAGTTGTTTTTGTTGGATGTGTTGACGAATCTCTTGTTGCAATTGTTGATGATTTTCAAGTAGTTTTTGTTCGCTTAATATGGCAAACGATTCCATAACTGAACCGTTGAAGTGATTTGTTTGCAGCATTTGTGCAGAGTTTTCGTTTAAACGATTCATTGCATTGATCTGTGGATTGCATTCTCCATAAGTAGTCTCTTTGAGACACGAATCCTGTCTGAACTGTAGGTCCGAGTGATTAGCGCGCAATCCCTCGTCTAAACCGATCGACATTTCATGTCTTTGGTTACCATTAAACACATGATCGTTGCTTTCAATCATGGATTTCGTGTTTCTGATCCTTTCTTTGATACTTTGACTTCTATTCAGTGAAGAACTCGTGGAACGGGACCTCACTATAGGACCCTCTGTTGAGATCACGTTTTGATTTTCGAATATAGCTTTAAGTTTGGCAATACTTGGGCGCCGTATGACAGTTGCCTTTCCTATAAGCCTCTCGTGTCGCACTTCATCGCCAACACTGGACGGACTGTTGGGAAGGGAAGGCAGTATGGATTCGGGGATATGTTTACTCTTTGTATTATCGGTCTGAGGAAGCGAGTGATCAGTTTGCGGAGCGATTGTAGCGATCGCTATGTGTTGGTCGGCAGACTCCCTGAGCAACTGGCGCCTCATGAGAGGCTCTCCATCGCCATCGATGTTCTCATAAGTGTGCGAATCAATCATTTTGAGCTGTTGTTCAAAGAGTGTGGCCACAGCCTTATAGCACAGCATGTATTGCTCTAATGTCTGCACCATTGCTATCCTCTGTCTCCTCATCTCTCGTATTATGGAATACAGACTGAAATCTATGGACACAACCATTCATTAGACAAAGAGTTGCCTTTCGGTGACAATCAATGCAAACCTTCTCGAAGTTTTCCGGTCCTGAGAAGAGCCCAAACGTAATCAATACTACATAGAGTTCCGGTTCGCCCGCAGCCGGCGCTGCAGTGGATCAGTATTGGACGGGTCTCTGAAATCTGGACGTCACGCATGAGTCGCACCAACTCGAGGATCGGGTGCACAGAGTTGGGCACTCCGTGGTCGGGCCACGTCTGGTAGTGGAACTGACAGACCGTGCGCTCTATGGAGTCGGCTTTCACTTTGAGAGTGCGGACCAGAAAGTCGGGGCACACCTGACGCCACTTCACTAATTGCACTGATATTACAACAACACATGCATTGAGTACAAGACATTCATGAGGGATGAGTGACATGACATACCAGTGATGTTGCCGTACTGTTGGGGGTCATCGTTGTCCTGAGGCCAGTAGGACTCGCACTTGTATTTGCCGGACTCCCTCTCATTACAGGCCATCACAATGACGGTCACATCGGACTCCCAAATCATTCTCCAGAAGTCAACCAAAGTGTTGGGAAGCGGTCCCTGACTGGCGATGTAAGTGCGCGCACAGCCCGACGAGCCCTTCACGTAATTGGCGTTCATATAGTCAGATCCGGGGACACCCGGGTATTCCTCCAGAATGACACGGCTGTGATCATCTGCATACACATCAAGACATACAATCAGTCATACCATTCAACACATCATCACATCTCATGTCTCATTACACGGAAGAATATCTTTGTATCTGTTTTTGCGTCGATTCACGTCATTCTCGCCCTCAACTGATCCGCAGTTGGGATCAGTCTTCAGCGATTCCGTCAGGTCTTTGAGTGTTTGAAACTCTTTGCGGTACTCATCGATGCACTCATCATTGGTGTCATCACTCAGTCGATGTCTGCACTCAAGTCTCTCGAAGTCGTTGAGGAAATGACGTAAAATGGATTTCAAACGATTTGATTTGACCATAACTTGCGATTCGCGGCACAGAAGTCACCATCAATTGTGCCAAAGAGTGTCCAATGAGTCCAATGAATGCCAAAC